TTTAATTTAACACAGATTTTTAATCAAATACTAAATATTATTAAAAAATATTAATATGTTAAAACTATTTTTATTACCTTCTATTACATCATATAGTTTGGTTGAATGTAAACCAATATTTCCGCCAGAACCTTTTAAGTTGAACTGTGTCAACAGGGTATTTGTAAATAATCTATAAAACATATCAAATAAATAGTAAAATTTATGAAAAATATTAAACAATTTACCATTATTGATTTCCAAAATTACTAAACCTAAAAAAAAATTTACAACAAAAAAGTACAAAAATGATAGCCATACAAAAAAATAATACTAAAACCTATTCATAACCAATCTTGTCAGTTATTTAAAATCTTCGGCACCTAAAAAACTGAGTTGTTTAACCTAAACTAAAGTTAGACAAAATAATTATAATACAATAACTATTTTTATTTTTTAATTTATATAGATAAACTATTTACCAAATCAAGTCTAACACAATCATCCACTAAACTTTTGTTAAAATCCTCTGCAATTGTATCTAACTGCTTGATTACAATATTACTTTGTGGTTGCTTGTTTAATGCTAAAATAAGCACAGATTTGATTGTTTGAAAGAAATAGAACCAGGACATAAATTAAAGTCAAAGGATCTCTTTAATGGATTTTTCTCGACAGATTTAAAAACTGGCAGAGGCAAAGGAAATTCAGGTAACTTTAAAATATAATAATTTTATTATTTATTTTTCATATAGTATTTAAAAAAGTCTATCAATTTACAATACAGATTTCATATTAAAAAAAGAAAAAGAAATAAAACATGAATATAATTATATAATGTAAATACACAATTAACATTACTTTTCAATTTAAAGGCACTTTTGGAAATACAAATATCTGTTACATCTTCCTCCTCTGCTGCAGTGGTGTAAGAATTCAGCTCGTCTATATTATCTAAAAAAATTAACACAATTATAAATCCAATATAAACATCAGATATTTTGGCAGTTTTTTACATCATTTATATTGCCAGTATATAATGTATGCTTGTGTGTGAAAATTTTAATAAGTTTATATTTGTTCTGTGTTTCATCCACATCTATTTCTTCTTTAACAGCTCTTCGATAAGATACACCTGCAGACCAGAATAACAATTTTTATTTTGTATCTATCCATTTTCTAGCCACAACATCTTCTATTTCCTCATAATTCTCTATTCAAACAGCTCTTGCACAAATCATGGTGTAAAACTAAATCATAGTGTAAAAATTACATTAAGGTTTAAACTAAAAAAACTTTAAAACCTAAAAAATAGTCCTTACAACAAGTTGGAATAACAGTAATAAGTTTCAATAGCAAAAATATAACTGTCTTTAAATTTATAAAGCAACAAAAAGAAATAAAAAAAAACATTAAATTAATAACTATGGTGATAATCATGGGAAAAAGCGTTAATTTGTCTTAAGAAATTTACAAAACAAACGAAAAAAAGATATTAAAAAATGGTATTAAAATAACTGTCTGGGCTGTTTAAATTTTTTAATTTTTGTAAGCAATAGAAATAATGTTATAGAAATTAAACCTCTTAGACAAATGATTTTAATTTTACCTCATTTTTATTTTAAATTTTTAATTTATTTATTGATTTTAAATGATTAATTATTTTTAAGTTCAAAAAACTTTCAGTAATAGCATTTAAATATATTTTTAAATGAAGCTACAATAATCTCAATTAAAGATGATCTTTTTATTGAAAATTATAACCTTGTAACAAACAAACAAGAGAAATAAATTAAAATTAAAGTTTAAAAAGAAAAAACGAATTACTATTAACATATATATATATATATATATATATATATATATATATATATATATATATATATATATATATATATATATATATATATATATATATATATATATATAATATATATATATATAATATATATATATATATATATATATATATATATATATATATATACATATATATATATATATATTTATATATATATTTATATATATATATATATATATATATATATATATATATATATATATATATATATATATATATATATATATATATATATATATATGTTAATACTAATAAAGATTGTATTCGTTGATATTGTTTGGCTATTTGAACAACAGGACTCTTTGAATTTTTTACTGCTTTTTTTAATGTCTGGCTAAAATTTTCAAAAGGAAAACAGGATATGTCATTTTGTGAGCAATCAAATTTAACAACATCATCACAAATATGAAGTAAAAAGTGAGCATTGTAAACACAGAATGATTATGTATATAAATCTTTTGAATTTATAACAAAATAATTTAATAGTACTCTCGCGAATGTAAGATAATGCTTTCTAAATCGATTGCCCTCATTTAAGAGAATCATCATTAAATTTCTTTGCTAACAATTCCCTTTAAAACTAGGGGTCCAGTATATAAAATAAATTGTCTAAATTCTGTAGCTTTCGATCGATCTAACTCCAAAAGGGAACGTGGTTGTTGAGCAAATTCAGATGGCATCATACCACATAAGCTTAACAGATTATCAGGTATATTTTTTATTTGGGCATTTGAAAGTCTACAATGTTTTGGACCGGACTTTAAAAAGGTAAGTATGCGTCTTACTACACCAAGACAAACCATGTGCATATAATCCAAAATAAAATCAGAAACGCAAGATATTTCAATTTGAGCTAAAGGAGTAAGAGATTTCTGATGTTGACTGTACACAAAGGTATTAAACTCTTCAGTTAATCTTGGAGATGATGGCTTGTTATCAATAAAAACAACTCTATGTTCTTCATATAATCCTTTAACTTGGCATTGTTCACATGAGTCATCGATCACATAATGTCCTGTATGACCTTGTATACATTTAAGAAAACAGAGAGAAGGTGCATCACATATGCATTCTTTTAGTTTAACTTTAAATTTGTTATTATTATGGTAAAAACTTTCATTAGTTAACAATAAAAATTCTTTAATAAAATCGTTAAGAAAATCATCTAAGCAGTTTGGATTAGCATCTCCACAGAAAAGTGCAATAATGATAATATAGTTCTGTATTAGACCAAGTATTGGCCATAGTTGAAGATTAGAAGATTTAAAAAGAGGTAGTCCATCAACATTAATAGTAATAGATAACTCGGTACTTTGAAAAGCATTTTTTGTATTCAAAAAATAATTTAAGCTATCAGCAATAGTAAAATAAGCATAAGTTCCACCTCACTTCTTATCTACTTCAACAACTTTAAAGGTTTTTAAAAGGGTTCTCGCATCATTTGGCAACTCTGAATGACCATATTTTCTAAGAATTATTAAAAGTTCGTTTAAAAGAAATTGAGAAATTCTGCTTTTCGTTGACCACACTGCCAAATCCTCTGATAATGTTTCTGTTGTCAACAATAGTGATGCATCATAACAATCAAATTTCTCATACCTAAAACTTGAAGATGAACTGGTTACTCCGCATTCTTTAAAATCATCATTTAGGGCTTCAAAAGGTACCAAAGGTACAAAAGGTATTTCAGGCTCAGCATAAAAAGCATTAAGTTCAAGATTCAAATCAGGTGTACTAATATTATTAATTTCATCTTCTTCACCTTCAAATTTCATAATAAAATCCAATATACTTTCATTTAAGTGTTCGATTTTCAGTTTCCATAATGATAAAAATGAACTTTAATAAATCTTTTTGCTGTAATAATGGTTTAGAAAATTAATATCGGTTGAAGGAAAACTTAACTTATATAAAAAAACTTTTTGTCACCGTGAAAAGTTTCGTGTCTTTAAAAAGATTGTTAAAAGTCTTTTTAAATGACGTCTTTAAGAGGCTTTCAAAAGTGTTTAAACAAATCCATAAATAGACGTAATAAAGACGTCTTACAAAGAGGCAAAATATTTTCATGACCAAAAAGTTTTTTGAAGACGTCTTTAAGACGTATATAATATAGCTTAGATTACAAAAAAAGAGGTATATCAGAATACGTCAACTAGACATCTTTAAAATGTCAATCAAAGACAAGACCATTTAAAGACCCAATTAAGACAGTCTTAAAGATGTTTTGTGTTTGCTAGGCAATACAGTATTTCATTGACCGCTTCAATGAAATACTGTATTATTAATTATTATTAAATAAATAATTAAAAAATTATTGGAGTTTAACTCTAAGTTACCAATAAACTTATTTATTACTAAAAAAATAAATAAATTTATAAATCAAAAGAAAAACTTTTAATATTTACATACAAGCACAATCTTCTATACAAAGACGATTAAGGGATATAGAAGTAGAGTCTATGGCCAGGAGTAAGAAAGTAGTGAGGAAAGTGAGCAAGATAAAGTGGGGTAACTTTACCAAAGCCTTACTTTGCAATCAATTGTATTAAACAGTACCATATGTTGTGTAAAAAATATATAGTTTTTATTACCTTACTATGGCTAACTTGCTAATCCGCATTATAGACACAGGCCAATAGACACAGGGTCAAATTAACCATTAGGCAGGCTAGGGTGCAGCTTAGGACCCCATGATTTTAGGGGCCCTATTTCAAAATCGAGGACTTTTTTTTGTTTAGTCCACAAAATTAGATAGACAAAATGGATAGACAAAAAAAAAGTCTGATGGACAAAGAAAATCCTTATGGAAAAAGAGAAAAGCTAATGGACAAAGAGAAAGACTTATAGACAAAGAGAAAGGCTGGTGGACAAAAAGAAAGGCTAATGTATAAAGAAAGTGTTTAGTCAGTTTGATTATAAATAACATCAAATAAAGCGCAGTCTTCGTAAGAAGAGGAACGCAAAAGAACAAAGAGAAGGATGATTGTAATTAAGAGTATTCACACCTGATTTTAAATAAAATAGATGAATTGATATGTATGTCTATACCTAGCCCAATAAAGTAGTCACTTTATTATATTGGCATTTTTGCAAATCAAAAGGTTAATAGCCATTAACAATTTCATCGTAGATTTAAAAAAAAATGAAATAAATAAATACATAACAATAATTAGTAACATATTTAAAATATATTTCCAAAAAATATATATTTTCAATCTATTTTACTAAACTTGGAGGAATAAACTTGCACAGCAATAGGGAAAACTATAAAACATTGTTTCTTTTACGAGCCTATCCGCTATGCTGTTCTTTAAAATGTCTTTTTAAATTTTTCTCAGCACTGAAAGACTTGTTGCAAGAATGGCATTCAAAAACTTTTCCACATGACTTCTGATGCCGGTTTAATTCTTTCTTTTTTTTAAATAATTTGCCACATTGACAAAAAATATTTTCTTTGTTGTGGTGACTGGCAAGTTTCTTGTAATGCTAAAAATATTATATCAACTAGATAAAGTTTAAAATGATCACAGTTATATATTTTATATTAAGAAATAAACTTAGTTATATTTTATGTTGATGATTGTTCAATATCTGCCCATCAGAAAAAAAAATTAAACTGTTTTTGGTGTAAATAAGGTCGACAAGAAAATTTTCTTTGTTATATGTATACCACATTCCAAAACCGTTATGCCATTTCCCATCACGTAAGACTTGAAACTACAGCAAACTATATGTATTAACCGTATGTATACATAATCTCATTAATACTTCATTGCATTTTACTTACTTTATTACATTGACTATAAATTTGATGAATAAATGCAACAATACTCAAAAAAGTACTCAGTAACAATCTGAGCATAGAGAAATAAATTTATTGGAAGCGGATCTTGATAATATATCTAGAAAAAGCAGATATACCCGAAGAAATTAAACTTGAAGTCTTATTTGTTTTATATGGAGTAAAAGCTTTTACTGTAATTCAAAATGCAACCTCATATAACAATACAAAAGTAATTTTTGACCACAAATTTCAAAAACAGTCAACGGCGATAATGATGTATCACAAACTTTGATCACTTCCGAAACACAAGGGAGAATCTTCATGCTGAAAACTTCATAACTAATTTCAAGCAGTTTGCCAGAAAGTGTCCAACACAGTCCCTTACTGCCAATCAACATAGAAGTTTGTTATTATGAGACGCATTTATTGCAAGACTATTATTCGACAGCGACTACTCGAATGTACAAAAGAGAATCTAGATGTACCTTACAAAAAAGCCCTTACTATAGAACTGGTTGCTGAAGATGCTATTAATGTAACAATGACAACAAGGACTTCTAAACCATACTACAGAGTTTTGCAGCTACAAAAACGCAAACAATTACCAAAACTTCTTGTTGTGGAATGGCTGATACAGTATTAACCAAAAATCTTGATCCACTTTAAGAGGTAGACTCATCAGCAGAGTTTAGTAGTTATGCAATTCCGGTTCAACAGCAATCCTGGGAACAAAGTAGAAATCAAAGGACTATTGTCCCTAATACCGGCAATCAGTCAAATGGAGATTGGTATGTGTTAAAAGAAACCAGTGAAATAGTTTCAACTCCATCAAGTATACTACATTACTTATTAGTTCAGGATTTCTCTCATTGAAAGGAATAATGACCATGGACATTATTATTAGAACAAATGGACAAATTCAAAAGCAGAGAAGACTGTTATATTTATAGCGCATTCTAAAATCATTAATTCATTTACTGTTGTTTAAGACCTGATGCTTCAGCGAACCATATATATATATATTAATTATGCTCTATCATTAGCTCTATCATTGGGTTTTACTTACTTCAATGTCGCTATTGTAGTGACTTTATATTTTTGATTAAAGCCTAATATTTAACCTTTATCGACACGACAAAGGTTAATACCCTATTTTATTGCTGGTTCACAACAGTGTTATTTAAAAATAATAATATTTTCACCACAACAGATAAAGCATGAGATCAACAAGAAGTGTTCGGATTCAGACAATGTCAGGTTGGCAGTTAGGTTGACATTGTAGAATTGCCCATTCAAAGTTAAATGTTAACCCAAGTTTAATGCAGTGTAGTGGTAGAGCACTTGCCTCATAAGCAAGAAGTTCAAAGTTCAATCCCCACTATGTCCCTGGTAGTACAGTGCTTGACTTGTTTCTCAGTGCAGCGGCCTTGTTCGTCAAGGTTGGTGTTTCACTGTTATAGAGTTGAGAGAGGGTTATAACCACAGTTATAGTAGCCACCGTGATTGTAGTGGCCTACCCGCGCTTGGGAAGGTGAATTAACATAAAAAAAAAAAGTTCAAGGGCTGGTCAACATAAATGTCACTTTTCTAATTAAAATATTACGATATATGTTAAATAAACTAATAAAATGATATGCTTAGGAAAATTGTTTTATTTGAATCAGGAATAAATATATTTTATCATGATAACTATTAGGAGCACTTATTAATGTACAAAATAAAACATAATATACGTCTAACTAATATTACCTCTTTTTGCATTTTGGAGCATTGTTTCCAAGCATGTGCAAGAACTGTAGATCTTAATCCAAAATCTTCATTTGCATTACTGCTATTTTGAACATTTAGATTATCCTATTAATAAAAAAAAATCTCACTTATAAATTAATATAAATAACGAAGAGAAAGAGAAAAATCTCTACAATCAAAAAGAAGATAAGACTATCAGTCTGTGACTTTTTAAGGTGTTGCAAAAGAAAAAGTTGTAAATGTATTAATCACTGTAGATTACTTTATTTTTCATGTAAAACATGTTCCAAGCAGAAAGAGGTTTTGAACTTTTCTTTTGAATTGTTTCTGAAATTAAAATAGTTAAAAAAAACTGTAAAATTGCTTATATTTACTAACTTAAGGTTATAGCCTATAAAATGATCCCTAAAGTACCACCTCAAATTTTTATTTTTATCTAAAAAATTTTCTGTAATTCAAAAATCTCTGTAATTCAAACTTTTATTTTCCCCCATAAGATTTAAGTTAGAGATTGTACTGTATAATATTTCAATTCGATATAAAATTGATGACTTAAAAATTGTTTAACTAAAGGGGTTGTTGTTAAACTAAAACAACAATAGTTACTTCTAATAAGAGTAGGCAGTAAGTACTCCACACGAAAAATATGAAATAAATATAAATCAAACATACCTTTTTTTTTTGTCAATGTAAGTGCTTCTGGTGATTGGTTTAACTTGCATTCATTTTTATCCATGGCTGAATTTTTTACTATCAACTAAATATGACTAAAAACATGCATGAGAGGTTGCTATTGCAAATTAGCAATGATGAACGAAGAGTTTACTTGGGGATACTGAGGCTGCAACCCCTATTTTTAAATATTAATGGCAATATAAACTAGCTAAAATAACAGAAAACTTGTGAGTCAAGGTTTGTGTTTCGGAGCATTGTGTTGAGAGAGAGTTTAAACCTCAAGAAAAGCAGCCTCCTCGACTGTAGTGGCCTTCATGGCCTTGGGGAAGCGAATTGAAATATAAATATAAATAAATATATACATAAAATAAAAAATATATGTTTGTTTGTACAAATATTTTTATGTTTGTTTATGTGTGTGTGTGTATATATATATATATATATATATATATATATATATATATATATATATATATATATATATATATATATATATATATATATATATATATATATATATATATAGCTTCCTGATGAGCCTTCTGTTGGTGAAACAATTGTTTTGGCAATACAAATGACTATTAGATTTAAAGTAGCAAAAAACTTCAATATAAATTAATTAAAAATGGTTACTAGGTCAGAATTATCACTCAGACATAAAAAAATTAGATTGTTTTGTTGGAGTTTTTAGTTATATTTTGAATTACAAACTTATATTAAACACTAATTTTACAAAATGTTTTAAACGTGTTATAAAGATTGCCTATGGTTTTTGAAAATAAAAATAGTAACTTCATTGATGCTCAGTCTTTAACAACTAAAGGAGTATAAAAGAAATACTATTTTGTTATTTCTGGCTTTAGTCGCAGCAGGTTTGAAAAATTAAATTAAATCTGAATAAAGACTTTAAATTTTACAGCATTACTAAACAAAAAGCAAAATAATCTACATAAAAAGCTCAATACTATAAGAATTTTCAATATTATAAAAATAGTCTGTTCATTAAGATTAACTGCAAAGTAAAAAATATTAATTGTATATACAAATAGTACAAGTACTAATCTAAAGTAAAAACCTGCAACATTACAATAAAAGTGATCATAATAACAATAATAATAGTATTGATAATAATTATAAAAATAATATTAACAATAATAAAAAGATGACGACGAAGAGGAATATTATTAGTAACAATACTAACAATAATAATAAAGATATTATACAATCAATATTAGATAATAGCAATAATAGTATTAATAACAATTACATAGTATAAGTAGTAAATAAACTTAAGAAAAAAATTAAAAAAAGCAATAATAATACTTATTATGTTATAAATAAAAATAACAATTTACTAATAAAGATAGAAGAATATTATTAATATCAATACTAATAATAACAATAAAAATATGAGAACAAAAAGTTAATAATAAAACTAGTAGGTATCAAGAAAGTAGTAATAATAAAAGCATAACAACATATTTCAGAGTCTTCAGGTATAATATCTTGCTAAAAAATAGTTAAAAAAACAGTTTTTGAAATTAGTAATTAAGTCAATTGATTTTAATGGCGAAGGTAGACTGTTCCATGATTTTACACTTTGGTATTTTATGGATTTTAGACCATATTTTACAGAAGAATGATTTGGTACATGAAGATTAGCAGCTATTAGCAGATCGTAGATGATAGCGACAGCTTTCTCAATGTACTTTTGTATAACCAACCAATTTTCTTTTTTGGAAACATTGTCACTTGAAAGTTTGAGGATGGTATCCAAACAATTCATAATTTCAATACCTCTACCTCGAGATTTTGCACCAGGCTTCAAAACCCATAGGTTTTGGCAACCATCAATTTTCATCTGAGGAAAGTAGCTGCTTAGTTCGTTTAAAACAGTTTTGCATTCATTTTGATACTGCCATCCATTTTCAATATAGAAATCGTTTCTTGCTACTTTGTAATAATATTCTAAAAGTGAATTCCATAAATCATCACTTATATGCTCGTTATAGTCTTCTTCAATATCCAGATGTGCTTTGCTTTCAAGATATAAATGACAAGCTTTTATGGCTATTTCAAGGAGCATTGGCGACAAACTTTGTTTGATAGATTTAGACATATTTTCCATACTAACATTTTCAGAATTTTTAATTAATGCCCATTTCTCACTTTCTCCGACAACAATTTTTAACAGTTCTTGAGCTGCTGTTATTCTAAAATCATCAATAAATTCATCTCTTTCGTGCTGACAACAAAGTCTATAACATCTAGGAAAAAAACTGTTGGCATTAAGATCATCAAAGTGATGGAGATTTCTGAGATGTGAGCATAAGCCTGATTTTGAAGTAAATGCCCAAGCACAAGTGTAATGATTTATTATTTGATCCTTATGCAAAGAACGAAAGCCAATGTCATTCCATATAAATGTAGGAACAGCATTTCTAACCAGCCATGACATAATTTCAAAATATTGATCATTTAGATTTTCACCAAATGTATCTTCATTTAACTCTGAATCTGGACATTCTTGAGTTAATGAATTGATTGCTTTAAACCGTTGCTCAACCCATCCTCTTCTACGTAAAGTTTTGCGCAAAGATGCATATGGTCCATTACAAACAAACACTTTGTTATTCTGCATAGCAAGGTATGCTAAATTCTTCATTTCTTGCATTTTTTGATAGTTCTCATCCATTTGATTAGTCTTCTTTGATTTATGATTAAAAAATTCGCTGTACTTGTTTTCTAAGCAATTTTTTTCATTTGAGGAATGAAGTGTAATAGAACGAACAGATAGGCGCTTTAAAGAAGAACATGTTTCATTCAATGATCTGATATCTTTATTATTTTTATCAATTTTGTGTAACCTAGAGACTTTTAAACCATTTTCTGAAACATTGTTCCGGTGAAATATTGTGTTACTTGTAAAAACAACAGGGAGATGGCTTTGACTTTTAGATTGATTTCACTAAAATTAATTGCATTGCAATAAAATTAAACTAAAATTAAAAGTGAAATTTCTATTAATAGTTCATTTTGCTTAAAGTATAGTTAATATTTTAAAATAAAAGCATTTAAATAATCGATTTGAAAAAGCTCGCATTTTCAGAATACTCGTTAAAAGATTCGTTAAAACGCACGTGCATTTACAACTGATAAAGCGTTTGTTGATAATTTTCAAACTGTTTCGTTGGTTCAAAGTTTACTTTTACCGAAAATGGGAGCCACCGTTTAAATTGGGAGCCACCGTTTACGGAAAAAAAGAACGCAGCGCCGCATCTGGGCAATTTTTCCGACATCGGATAAAAAGTAGGCGTAAACTTCTAATTAAATGCTCATCCGTGGCGTTCTGTGATAAGACCGTAAGGGCTTCTTGGGGGACCTTAATTAAAATTTTTTTTTATTATTGAGTTACATGATTATGTGGCAATATTTGCAATATATTATCTCTTGTTAGGATATTAAAGTTTAGGTAGGCCAGTTTTAAAAATCTTCTTTTCGTCTCTTTTACAAAAATTCAAAATATAAATAGGTTTAGCTGAAATTAATTGTTTATATTACAAACTTTATAAATGCAAAAACACTTTTTTCTCTAGTTCATATATTGAACCAAATAGTCACACTCTTCCAGTCACTTCAATGATTCAAGTCAGCTCAAACTGAAGAGCAATTTTTTCCATAGCATCCTTCTTTGACATGAGTATAAATATTTAATTGCTTGGAGTTTGCTCCGTGTCTGGAACTTAGCTATCTAACCTCCAGACACGAATCAAACTCGGTGTCTGGAGGTTAGATAGCTAACCTCCACACCATTAAATGCTAAGTCCGTTCCCATAGGATTAAAATCTATACAGATTTTTATCATATCACTCGACTGCTGACTTTTTAACCGTTATAACAAGAGTTTCATTTATAATTTATTTTTGTAAGTTAATATTTTAAAGTATAAAACTTAGAAATATTATTTAAAAATATATACTTAATTTGCTTAATTGTTATAAATATATACAATATAAATTACAATATATATTATAATATATATTACAATATATATTACAATATATATTACAATATATATTACAATATATATTATATATATATAATTGTTATAATATATAATTGTTATAAATATATAGTATATAAATATATATGTTATAAATATATACTTAATTTGCTTAAATGTTTTCAAATAATCTGCTGTTAATGGCTGCTAAGTATTTTTTTCCGATTCCGCCTTTGAATTATTGCCCTTTAAGTTTTTCAAATTTGACTTTCTCAAGCACAATCTTGAAACGTTCAAGTTTCGTTTGCGCATTTGTTCGAGCATTTTTTTTTGAAGTATAACTTGACAAAGTTAGACTTGAGAGATCAAGTTGAACTTTACTTAAGTTCGCTTCTTGCATTCCACCGATAACGCTTAAGATAAATATTTTGCTAACAGTATGGTAAACATTACGCAAAATTTTTCTCTGACCGTTAAATAAACGTTATGTGAGCGTTATATTTTTAATTTTCAGTGTAATTGTTATAAGTTAATTAATATTTTACTTTAACGCAAAATTTGCCATAAAATGATAAGTGCATGTAAAAAATAAAAGTGCATTGATTGCATCTGCTATATTTAACTTGGTTGTTTTGTTAGTAAATCCAAGTGCATTAGTATCGGCATGTAGTAACAATACACTCCATTCGTCATTATTAAAACTTGAATTTGTAGTGTACGTGTACCAATCAATTGAATATTTGTTCCAGTTCAATTGTTCATATATTTTTTCTAGGATTTAAAAAGTTGTTCGATTTATCAGTGGCGGTGGGTCTCTTCCTTCAATTTGTGTAAAATAATTTTAATTTCAACCAAATGTTGCTGAAAGAGTTTTTTGTTTTCGGCCACCAAACTTCCTTTACACAACCCTTCAGATTCACTGCAAGAAAAATAAGCTTTCTTAACATAATGTTTGCATTCTACGTAAGTTAAATGAATTTTCGGCTTCAAGTTACTAGAATGTCAAGTTTATCAGGTTTTCTTAACAAAATGTTTGCATTCTCTGTATGTTGGAAAACCTTAAGGCATCTAGTTACTGAAATCTTAGATTTTTAAGAGTTTTACAAAATTCGATAACCACCTCAAACGCCTAAGGTATGCCTGATCATAGCTTCTGAGTAGACCAAACGGATTCAGCTTGAAGATTTTATCATCCCTACAAGGGAAAAAATAAAAATGTAAAGATTGTGAAAAAAAATTGTGAATTATGAAAAATTTAAAAAACTTGTTACTAATTTAACTAGAAAAATAAAAACAAAAAACTTGTTAACAACGAAAAAATAAAAAATCGATAAAAAATTTAAACTGTGTCACTGTGGTCTAACAAATTTGAGTTTTGCCTTTAATTAAAAAAAAAGGTTCTATATATTTAGATAATTTTTTTCACAACCTTCACATTTTTATTTTACCCCTTATAGAGATGATAAAATCTTCAAGCTGAATCCGTTTGGTCTACTCAGAAGTTATGATCAGACATACCTTAGGCGTTTGAGGTGATTTTCGAGTTTTGTAAAACTCTTAAAAATCTAAAACTTCAGTAACTAGATGCCTTAAGGCTTTCTAACATACAGAGAATGTAAACATTTTGTTAAGAAAACCTGATAAACTTGACATTCTAGTAACTTGACGCCGAAAATTCTTTCAACTTACGTAGAATGCAAACATTATGTTAAGAAAGCTTATTTTGCTTGCAGTACTCGAGAAATTCAAACGATAAATAAAGTAATGTTAAATCTTTTGTTTGTTATAACAGCAACATCATTTGTTGTGTTTATTAAAGGAATATGTGATTCCAACAATGGACCAGCTGGATCAAAAGATTGCATCTTGGCTGATCCAAACTACACAAAATATCAATGGGCAACTTGTCTAACAAATGATTATATTAGGCAGAAGTCATCAGGTAAACATAAATGTCAAGATGGGCAAGGAATCTACTGTTACTATCAATGTATGATTGAATTGTATAATCTTGATCATGGACCCGTGTACGACAACTGTGCTTGCGAAGATAACAGTGAATCAACTCTGAGTCCAATGTCGACATTACCACCTTCATGTTATAGCCCTACTGGAGCAGACTGTTCATGGTATAGCAACTGCCTGGCTGCTAAGTTTCCGTGCAGTGGATCTCAAACGGAGTATGCAATATCTTACGGTCAAAAATTTTGTTCTCTTTACAATGATCGGAGATCAGCATTTTCTCAAAACGCACTCAATTGGGTTAATGCTGTGAGAAAATGTCTACAAGTTAGTTTGGTGCCATTACTTAGAGATTACTCAACAGTTAGTTGTAATGATATTTTTAATAAAGCAATGGCATCGCATCCAGGTTGCTATGTGTCACCGTATCAAGGACTGTCAGTTTGCACACTTTCACCAACCGATTGGTGGCAGATTTTTTGGACAATAAAAGGTGCTTTTAAAGATCAATTTGTGGAAACTCTCTCGCAATCTCTTGATACAGCTTTGGGTTGTGTAAAGGATGTTTGGTGGCCAAAATCAAAAAACTCTTTCAGCAACTTTTGGTTAAAATTAAAATTATTTTACACAAATCGAAGGAAGAGATCCACCGCCACTGATAAATCGAATAATGAAACTGCTTTCCAAATCCTAGAAAAAATTTATGAACAATTGAACTGGAACAAATATTCAATTGATTGGTACACGTACACTACAAATTCAAGTTTTAATAATGACGAATGGAGTGTATTGTTACTACTTGCCGATACTAATGCACTTGGATTTACTAACAAAACAACCAAGTTAAATATAGCAGATGCAATCAATGCACTTTCAGACTCCATTCAAAAAGGAAGTCTTCAAATCAACTTGCCCGGTAACACTGGTGTTGTTTTTGTTGGTCAAACTCTGGAAAACTGTCTTCAGTTTGTCGAAGGCTCTTGCCTTGCAAGCCAAACACTGGCTACTTTGCCAATTAATTTTACGCTAAATACATTTACCACTATGCAGCCTACTATCAGCTCTTCGGCTTCGGTTATGTTTTTAATGGGCACCAATATGCTGGTTCTTTTTACATGCACTTATCATTTTATGGTAAATTTTGCGTTAAAGTAAAATATTAAATAACTTATAGAAAATTTAATTATCAAAAAGATATAATAGTATTAATACTATTCGGACTAAATATTTCTCTTTTTACTGTTTTTTATTACACTCATACATACATACATACATACATACATACATACATACATACATACATACATAAAAATTGCATTTGAAAAAATTTAGCAACTCAATCAACAATTCAATTAGAATCGAAAAGATAAAGAGCAAAACTTAAATATTCTTATCTGCGTGCAGAAAAACGTAAACAATAAAGAAAAATGCACTCTTTTTGATATGTTTAACTATATATATGTATATATTTTTATAGGTTTAGTTATAGCGACTGGTTAATCTTAATAGATTTGCGGTAAAGTAAATATGGATTTGAAACAAAGTTGTCCTAAAAAAAAGATTTTTCATCTATAGTATTTATTTAAAATACATCTTATCACAGAGCACCGTGGAATAACACGGAACGTTTATACAAGAAGAAGAACCCCACTAATCTCTATAATAACTGGAAAGCGCTTTTCTAATATTAAAAAAGAAACAAAAAGTGTCATATTGGAAAGCTCCAAAACGCGTAAATACAGAAATCGCGCTTTAAGTTTGTTTAGGAAATAAAAAAGAAAATGCATTTAAAAATTTCAAACGTGAAAAGAAATTATGCTATAAAAATACCTTCTTAAATGGGACTTTTATCGTTTTTATTACTAGTTTGCTAAATATCTATTTTGCATTTCCTCCAGTTTTTTCAAATTTTTTATTTTCCAACTTAATGCAACTTTACCTTTCAATAGAAGGTAAAAAGTAACTTCATAAAATATTGGATTGAATATTTTTAAATATACAATCCTAAGTTTTGAAACACCATCAACTATACAACACTTTTTTGAAAGTGTTACTTTGAGTGATAATCCTATACTAACAATTTTTTGTTATATTGATTTACAATCTTTGATTACAATTAGTAAAATGCCTAAATTACAATTAAATTACAATGCCTAAATAACAATTAGTAAAATGCCTAAAAAAAAAATCTCTTAGATTATTAACTTTTACACCAAAAGTTTTACGTGATAATTGGCATTCCAGGAAAAAAAGTTCAATAGAATTTTATATAAACTTTTGAATCATATGGCCTATATAAATTCTATAGAATTCTATAGAATTTCTATAGAGTTTCTGTTAAATTTTATAAAAATTTCTATTGAAGTTTATTTTTCTGATTTTTTTTGTAGAAAAAAAAAAAAAAAAAAAAGTTTAATAACAATATCTATTAAAATTAATTGAGTTTAGAGAATAGAGTTTCTAAACGTCATATGTTTTAAAAGTTTATAGAAAGTTTTTCCTGGGATTATACACAAACAGATTTGAGTTTAAAGAAATACACTATTGTTAATTCAGTTAACATCAATCAGTTTTATAAGAGTATTAAATAACTGATAAATCAAGAAAATATTTCTTGTGGAAATATAATAAGAACATTAAAAAAATAGAAATAAGGTAAATTTGTTTTTGTGCAGAAGTTTGTTGTGTTTGTAATTTTACCCATATATAGATATGTATATATGTATATATATACATATATATATATATATATATATATATATATATATATATATATATATATATATATATATATATATATACATATATACATATATATATATATATATATATATATATATATATATATATATATATATATATATATATATATATATATATATATATATATATATATATATATATATATATATATATATATATATATATATATACATATATATATATATATATATATATATATATATATATATATATATATATATATGTATATATATATATATATATATATATATATATACATATATATATATATATATATATATATATATATATATATATTTACATATTATATATCTACTATAGCATATTTATTTGAACACTTGCTCACTTTTTTTAATCATTTTAATCGATACGGCTTTTTTATAAAAAGAAGTAGAAGACGACGAATAATGATTGAAAAGAATTGCTGACCCATACCAAACCCTCAGTCGATGTGCCAGCACTCCACTGCGAGTCACGTTATTTGGCAGTCGATTTATGTACTGAAGGCCCCGGCAGCAAGGTATTTTAGTATGACGTCACACTGTTCACCTAACTAAAAGGAAAAATATTTTAATCAAGTAGTTTTAGCAATTAGCAATCATGCAGGTTTAGCAATCAAGTAAGTTTAACAATCAAATAGTTTATTAATTGTTTCTTTACATAAAATGGTATGCGAATATAGTACTAAAAATACTCGGTTTGCAATTATCAAATCTTTGTATTTTTTACTTCTTAGTTGAAATCTGACGCTATGTAAAATTTTATGTGTGTATACTTAGTCGCTGTGATAAGGCAAATGTTGTTCTGGGGCGTAGTGATAAACAAATATTGTCTTCTTTTATCACTGGTCATTTAGATATTGTTGATTAAAATATCAAATCTTTGTATTTTTTACTTCTTAGTTAAATTCTGACGCTATGTATAATTTTATGTGTGTATACTTAGTTGCTGTGATAAGGCAAATGTTGTTCTGGGGCGTAGTGATAAGATAAATTTTGTCTTCTTTTAGCACCGGTCATTTAGATATTATTGATTAACACGGCATTGCATTTTCAATTTACTGTCAATTTTTAAAAATTGCTTTTTTAAATTTCTAATCAAAGAAATCATAAGTTTTTTTTTTTAATTTTAACCCGATATTTCCTCTGTTTATGGTAATTTTTTAGTCCTTGCATCATCTTTTTTTTTATATCAAAGTATGGTTTTCCTTTTACGCATAAGAAGGAATAAAATACGCTTTGTTATATTTACTGTAATATATAACAAAGTGCGTTTTTACTTTTTTTTATAATAATGTTACATAATGACAAATAAAAAAAAACACTCACACAATCAGGGCATAGTCATAAGGGCAAAAGTATATTTTTATACCAAATAAAGTTGAAGCAACATTGAAGAATATATAGTATATCAAAAAAATTGAATAAATGTTTACAAGAATATAAAAAATATATTATTATATTATTATAAAGATCTAGCAGCAGTTCATTTAACTGTACTGTCCAGAATGCACTTTAAAAAACCATGGAAATCTGACTTTTATGAACTTTTACATTTCTATTTTTCTGAATTTGCCTCATTTTACTTAAAAACATGCTGAGTTAGATTTATGAGAATTAATTTCGAAAAACCAGTCAAATATTCCTTTAACTGTTCCTAGTATTTTAAAGGCCATTGACATGAGAAGTTTTCCAAATATAAGAAAAGTGTTTATTCATATATTGGGAACAATATTTTAGAAATATATATATATATATATATATATATATATATATATATATATATATATATATATATATATATATATATATATATATATATATATATATATATATATATATATATATATATATATATATATATATATATATATATATATATATATATATATATATGTATATATATATATATATATATATATATATATATATATGTATATATATATATATATATATATATATATATATATATATATATATATATACATACATATATACATATATAAATATATACATATACATTTATCATTACTTATTTCTACAGCACAGGTATTACAAATTTTTGCAAAATAGGATTTTTGTAATCTTTCTTTTGTAGCAATTTGTTAACTATTTGTTGTGTAATAAGTTTTTTTTCTTAAGTTTATTAACTGTTTTTGATATTACTAATATATTTGGTAAATTGTTCCAATAAGGCATTATCCTTGTTTTTTTTCTCTGATATTTAAATTTATTATTCTTTTGGTTTTGTAACTTTTAACCCTAAGTTTGATAAATGTTTTCATAATAATTGCAATAAAAACCTGGTACAAGCATTGTACCTCTTTAATTAACTCTTTTAAGTACTTTTGTTTCATTTTTCAAATGTGGATTCCAAATGGTGTATTCTAAAATTCTAATTCAGGTTAGAATAGTTTAGTAATTTAGTCAGTTGAACAGAATTTAAATGTCCGCTCTAGAATACCTAGTTTTGTGTAAGCTTTTTTAGTTATCCTTGTAATGTGGTCTTTCCATTTCAGATTATTATATTGATGCCTAGGTCTCCTTCCTGCATTGTTTTATTCAATCTGACGAATTTTCCATTATGGAACCTTCAAAGAAGTTTTCATGTTTAGCAAAAAAAAAAAAAAAAAAAAAATTTTTGCGTAATATTTTTTTAAAGAATTTAAAAAAATGTTCAAAAATTCTGCTTCGGAGTCCAAATTAGAGTTAGAGTTCTTTTCTGAAAATTTTAGCGATTTGTGTTAAAACTAATTTTTTCCAACTCGACACACCTGAGAGCAATAATAAATTTATAATAATACTTATTTAATTTTTTTAGACAGCTTGATTCAAATCATCAGTAGATTCATCAGTAGGTTCATCAGGTAATCATCAGTAGTTTCATCAGGAAATCATCAGTAGGGTCATCAGGAAATCATCAGTATGTTCATCAGGAAGCTTCATCAGTAGGTTCATCAGTAGGTTTTTAAAAATCAGCTTCATCAGTAGGTTGAGAAGCTCAGAAGTCTTCATCAGAACCACTTCATCAGTACCACTTCATCAGTACCACTTCATCAGTAGGTTGAGAAGCTCAGAAGCTTCATCAGTAGGTTTTTAAAATCATCAGTAGGTTCATCAGGAAGCTTCCTGATGATGATGATGATCTACTGATGGAGAAACAAGCTGTCAAAGAGAATTAGATGAATGTTTTTACTTATATATATATATATATATATATATATATATATATATATATATATATATATATATATATATATATATATATATATATATATATATATATAAATATATATATATATAAATATATATATATATATATATATATATATATATATATATATATATATATATATATATATATATATATATATATATATATGTATATATATATATGTATTTATATATATATATATATATATATATATATATATATATATATATATATATATATATATATATATATATATATATATATATATATATATATATATACATATATATATATGTATTTATATATATATATATATGTGTGTGTGTGTGTGTGTGTGTGTGTGTTTGTGTTTAGGTAGCGATTCTTTACAGTTATTGGTGTTAGAAAAAAGCCTTATAATTTTGTTGAACTTTACTTGTTTATATCTTTATTTAAGGTTATGCATGAAACTTGAGATTTTTTGCATTATTCAGTATAAATCTACCTTTTCCAACCATATATAGGAAGTTCTATTTACTACTTTATGTACTATTTATTTGGCTTCACTTATATATTTTACTTTTCAGAGTTTCAGAAAAAAGTTATGTTCCAACTTGCTGAAATGAAATACATTTTAGTAGATAGAGCTGCACAGTTCTCTAATGATCTAGAAAAAGGTTTTAAACAACGTAAAAGTTCAGATGAACTCAATGTTTTGAAAAACAAAAAAACAAATAGAGATATTCAATACATCACTTTTGTATGCATGAATTTCATCTTTATAGTTTGTATGCTATATATTATTACAATATTTCTTTTAAATTGCCATGAACATCTTCAGTGTTTCTTTCACATTGTTTCTTTTTAGGTAAAACAGTTATCATTATTTGGCAGTAAAAATCCAGCTTATACAATTAAAAATATTTTGTTCTTGTAAGTAATTAGCATAAGTTTGAATTTTAACATTTATGTTTGACAGCATGACATTTATAATCTTTTTTATATGAACATTATTATCAACAAGGATCTTGCCATCCTTTTCGAGTTTCTTTTTTTTCCGTGTTTTGCCTCATCGGAGCTACACCAAGTTTCCGTTACGCATATAATATTAAAAATGTTTAAAGCTTCCTCAATATCATTCCAAATATATTCAAAATTCTTTTTTAAGCTTCTTATGTTAAAGTGTATTACATTTAAGTGATCTCGTTCAAGAAAATTCATTTAGCTCATTGTTATAAAAATAGGAGCAATTGTTTAACAAAGCACCTGCTTCACTAAATTAAATTGAACCAGGATCAGTATCTTTGTTTATAACAAATTTATTTGTTTGAAAAAAATTAAAAGAATTCAACTCAAAATTGTTTAATAGTTTTGAGTTAATTTTTGTATTTTAAGATATAGAGCTTAAAGAATTTCATTGCAAATTTAAGCATGAAATTAATGTATAATAGACATTCATTTTATACAAATAAATTTATACAATGAAAGAAAACATATCGTCAAATATTAAAAATCAAAAAATCAAAATAAGTTTATACTTGGCAATCTTTTGCGTCAATTTTCTTTTCAGACCATTCGCGCACGATTAGGTTGTCGTAAAAGATAAACGCATATTTTCCCAGTTCTCGCTGCTTAAACATTTCATTCTTCAAGTCTTTTCTTATCTGAACAGTTTCAAAACAAAAGTCCTCATTTATGTAAATATTCATACCTTTTAATTTCACTTCTCTTCATAATATATGTTATATCATACCTTTTATTTTCTCTTTTATTCATATCTTTTAATTTTTTTTTATACTTTTTAATTTTAGTATTCATACTTTTAATTAAAATCTGTTTTATTCATACCTTTTAATTTCAATCTCTTCATAATATCGGTTTTATCTTTATAATTTAAGAGTTTTAATATTATTGTTCTATTTTTATTTTCACCTCTTGGTCCGGTTCTGTGCGCCCGTTCAATTTTCACATCTTTGATTTCAAGCGTCTCTTCAAATAATTTAAGCACTTTTAACTCACTTTCTTCCTATGTTTCATGCTCGCTTTCTTTTATTCCGTTTATTCTTAAATTCTTTCTCCTAGATCTATCTTTTATCTCCCTTAACTTGTTATTTATCTTTTACCTGGCTGCTAACTTTCTTCGTTTTCTCTTTAATTATTTCAAATTTCGATGCAACTATTTCATCATTAACATAGATAAATTTTTTAATTTCATTTAATTCAGTTTCTAAAAGCAATATCTTTTGATTAGACGCTTCTAACGCATTAGTAATCGTAGCAATTTTAGCCGAGTTGTTTAAAATGTCTGATTCAAGTTTATCAAATCTTCCGGTTATTATTTTTATATTCCCAGTCGTAATTGCAGTAAAACTTTTTTCTTGTTCTTTTAGCAACTTTTGAGTTTCTTTTATTATTGTGTTTTTTTGTTTATCCAATAGTACATTTACCATTAGTTCTATACTCGCCATAGTAAAATCCATTTTTAATTTAAGTTATGTAAATTTAAAGATAATCTTTTTCAAGAAAATAAAACACGTCCGATCGCTTCCGTATGCTTGCATATCTATTGACTTACTGACAAAAAACACTATTTTCAGAATGCAGCATGAATGGTCTAATGAAGAAAGATAAGTTTAAAATGTTGACAAGTCTATGTATCGCTATCACTGGTATTCTTATTAGCTTATTATTGTGTTTAATTTACTTTTAAAATTGAAAACAATCTTGTAATAAAAAAGTATTTTTTTATAAAAAGATCGTTTATTTTCAAAAAAAGCAAGCTGATAATTTAAACTTGCCACGCGGCGACATTTAATATTTTTAAACAGCAAGGGGGCTTAAAAAGTATGTTTTTATTAAAAATATAACTATGTTTTCTAAATTTATATATAAAATAAACCATTTTATTACATTTATAATTTTTAAAAATAACAAAAAGTTAATAATACATAAAATTAAGGTAATAACCTAGTTAGCACACTTATATTGGGCCAAAGTATGTAAAACCATCGCGTACCTTGGCTCTTTTTTCTAATGCAAAACCAACATTTATCCTATGTCATTTGGTTAGTGATAAAATTATTACCGACGGAACTAAAAACATCTGGCAACTTTACATTTGTCCAATGTTTGAAAAAACATCGCAAAAAGTTAATTATTTTAAAATTATTCTAAACCCAATATTGACCCAATGTATATGACCGTATATATGTATATATATATATATATATATATATATATATATATATATATATATATATATATATATATATATATATATATATATATATATATATATAAATCTATATATATATATATATATATATATATATATATATATATATATATATATATATATATATATATATATATATATATATATATATATATATATATATATATATATATATATATATATATATATATATTGAGCAGCCGTGGCGCAGTGGTTAGAGTTCTGGCTCAGAACCCAGAGGTCCGAGGTTCGACGCCAGCTCTAGCCCAACAAGTGACATTGGTACGGAAGGAGGCGTGAACTTCCTGTTAAATGCTCTCTCTCAGTGCTCTATGATAAGACCGTAAGGACTTCTTGATGCACCTAAATACATACAAAAAAAAGAAAAAAAAAAGTATATATATATATATATATATATATATATATATATATATATATATATATATATATATATATATATATATATATATATATATATATATATATATATATATATATATATATTTAAAAAGAAAATAGATTTTATTGAAAACTTAATTCCGAATTATATTGAATACAACATTTTGCTATTTAAAGTTCAACGTTGCGCCAACGTTTAAAATAAAATGTTGATTCAACATAGAAAATATAACCATTTTCCGACTTTAAATAACATTTTATCAACATCGGTTTTTAGTTGTTGGCGACGTCGCATTTGTAACCATAATGATATCAAAACAACTAAATTATTGGTAGAGCCAACTCGGACGCTTTTATCTGATATTTCACAAAGTATTGTAGATGTACACGCTGTTAGTTTTTTGTATTTCCTTTTTTACTTTTATAGTTTTCTGAAATATCTTTGAATTTTTTATTATCATTATTATAAATGATATAACTATTGAATATACTGTGATTTATAAATAGTATGTATTTTTTAACTTTTAATCTGTTTTTAAAGTTACTAAAGTTTAATTTTTTAATGCTTTACTTTTCAAAACATGTTTTGTTTTAAAGTTGATTTGTTAAAATCCTGCCTTGAGACACTGGAAGTTTTATGCTATTTAAAGAAGACCTTATTTTAATTGTAAGTATGTTGCTTTTTATTTTCATTGGTTTTGAATATTTTTATGTTTGATATTCAATCGTAATTAAAAACGGCGTCCGTTGGACGTCCGCAATAGGTCCATTTTGGTCCTTGGGACGTCTCACAGGACAGCATAGGGACGTCCTTCAGACGTATTAAATGAAGCGCATTTCGTCCGTCCAACGGGAACTTATAGAGCCGTCCTACGGACAGCGTTGAAGGGACGTGTAAAGCCCGTCCTACGGACGTCTTTAGCATGTCCCGGTTCCTTCAAGCAGTTGAAAATAGTCTTTGGCTAAACTCCTTTTAATTAACAGAATTTGTTTAAGTTTAAATTACCCTTAAGAGTAAGACTTACATGAGCTATAACTAATAGCTTTTCAAATAAAAGATTTAATAAGTTTTAAATGCTACTTTTATAAAAGTATTATATATTATTATCCAGTATTAAATATTAACCCGCTTTTTAATTTTTCTTATACTAGCGCATGTATACACACTCAACATAATCTAAAACAATTTTTTATAAGAATGAATGTTTTGAATAAATGCAGTATTATATATTTTTTTATTATATTTAGCATTGTAAGGTTATATATAAATTTTATATATAACCTTACAATGCTAAATATAATAAAAAAATGTATAATACTGCATTTATACAAAACATTCATTCTTATAAAAAATTGTTTTAGATTATGTTGATTGTGTAAACATGCGCTAGTATCAGAAAAATTAAAAAGCGGGTTATGAATTTGAAAAATGTGTTTTCAAAATCAAAAAACAAAGCAATCATAAATAATCTTGCTCGTCTGATGTAAAGCCACAAAGAACGAACGAGTATTATATGAGAAGACCCAATTATCTATTATATGTTAACAGGTTTCGGACTTCAATATGCTTTGTTTTGAATGGCTCGTTTCAAAATATCACCTATGTGATAATCTAACCAATCTTTACAATAATCTTCCTTGTTGTTATCAAGTAGAGCACCTACAACATAAAATATTCAAAAAAATAGTCACAAGAAAAAAAGAAACGACGAAGCTACTAATTCACAGATCTGAATACAAACATTCTGTATTATTTCAATAAAAACATAACTAGCTTTCTGGTTTTTAAAGTGATTAAGCACGCCTTTTGATATATCGCTAATAACCGTCTTGTGCTATGATGACTGATAACATTTTTTTAAGTAGAAGCATATAAGAAAGACTGGCTTTCCAGCCAACATTGACATATGGATAACGTACGGAGCCCATACGGGTCGTCAACTGGGTTTCGTATGGGAAGACTAACGGTATCCCGCCGGATCATGATCGCGGTTTCTATATGGGACCCATACGGGTTACCCCCGCCGAGTATCCCGTATGGGTCCTAGTCAAATCCCGTACTTTAAAACCGTAAGGGACCCATTTGGGTTTCGAAATGGGACCCATATGGGAAACCTATCGGGAACTCTCCGGATCATGGCCGCGGTTTTCTTCTGGGGCCCATATAGGTATGCCCGCCGGGTATCCCGTGAGGGTCCCACGAAGTTTACACATTGCAAATTTTGCAAAACTACGTTTAAATGTTTGAAATATACAGAAAAAGCAAATTTACATATAAAATGATTGCTTTATTTCAAAAAAATAGTAAAATTTCACTGTCGAAATTAAGCAAACTTTTAAACGATTCTTTAATCATGTATCAAATGCTTTCACGGTTATCTCGGGAATTTGAAGCTTTTCCATTGTTGTTAAAACGACTTCTTTGAAAACCTCTTTCAATATGAACTGTAAAAAAAATTAAATTTAACTGTTAGTTAAATTTTATAGGTAATACTGTATGTTTTAATATGTTATAAAACTCTTACGATTTCTCCCAACACTCTTCAGATAAAAAATGTAATTTTCACGATCGAAGGTAGAAAAACATAACCTTTAATTTTTTAATCGACGTTTATTTCAATATATTGTATAATTCGTTTATATCATATATTGTATATACCTTATATACAGTCCCGTGGCTATTAGATACAAGACCCCCTTCCATTCAAAAAAAAAAACCTGTCATGAGGGCCCCAAAACTCTTAAAAATTGTGTGTGTATGTATAAAACGACTAAAAAATTGATAATTCCCCAAATATAATCTATTTGTCATAAGATTTGCTTGCTTTTTGTAACCTTTTTACCTTAACCATATTTTTTTGCTTCAAAACTATTATTACTTTCATTAGCTGAAAACAAAGCACTCTAAACCTTGATAATTTTTAAACTGTAAACAGTGTCTTAATGCAGTGATTACTACCATCAAAATAAGGAATACTAAACTTCTGTTTATCATTATGTAAGTGGTTGGTTGAGCAACCCTTTGGTCTTTGAAAAAGCTTTTTTAATTGACCTGAAAAAGTTTTGTATTTGAAAGAGGGACATCTATCAAGTACTTAAAGTTTAACTTTATTATTTCCTATATGTGCTAATGAATGAACATTGAACACTAGTTAATCTTTACGATAAAGTTCACATATAAAACTGCACAAAAAAAGTAGCTGAAAAGCAAAATTAACATATTTTTTCAACAAAATAAAACATTATGAAATTAGAACTACAAGTGAAAAATCTAAAAAGTTTAAATAGATTTTTTACTAAACCATTCCCTTTAAACAACTGGTCCAGTATATACTATAAATAGTCTAGGTTCAATTGCTTTTCATTTTTTGATACCTAATTAAAACCTTGATTTTCTAGAAAAATTTCTTGGAATGTAATGACGTATCTGGAACAATCCGCCAGATAAAGTATTGACTTATTGTAAATATAAAAAATTGTAAGGCAATTTACAACATTTGGGCAACTTAACCATTAGTTGACAAATTTTCGCATTACCCCTAAGCATACTAGATGCATTAAGTCTAAAGGAAACTTTGTCACCAAGTCAAAATTAGTTCAATTTAACACACCAAGATGCCAGAGATTTTCAGAATGGTTTTGATGACAAAAAATCTGAATCAGTTCCTAAAATTAGTGAAATACTTAGGAGAATTATCTTGCCACACCACTCTCCTTTCTAAACGCAACATTCACATCAGTTATAACCATTGTGTCTTTTAATACACTTTACAAATGCTCTAGCTGGTGCATTACATATGATAACAGCAAGATTGCTTTTAAACTCAATATTTTCATAGAGAAAACCATCTTTTGCAAGAATTTTGAAATCTAACAAAATATTATGTAGACAAGGTGATCAACTCTTCTTATTTACTGAGTTTGGTACTCTTTTTTTACAAACCTTTTTTCAAATCCTGTACTCTGAAAGTACTAATTTGTATAATTTTAATTTGTATAATTCATTTGTATTTCTAAAACATTTTTTTTAGATTATTTCATTTCAATTTTGTTAAATAAATATTTAAAATTATTTTGACAGTGACTTTAATTTCATCGCACGCATATTGCTTGCCGTTTCCGGTTCATATCAATAAAAATTTTTATCAGCATTATAAACATAAGTATTTTATTACAAATATTTAAAAGTATAGGTATTGTTAGTTTAAGTTTTTATTATGTATATTACGAATTTATTGTTAATATTGCAAGTGTACAATTTTAAATCAAAATCAAAAAATATCAATGATTAAAAAATGAGGTTAATGCATAACAATAAAGCCATTTCTTTGCATTTAAACATCTGATTATATCTTTATTTATATCTGACGGTTAGTAAACTTTGTTAACATCAGTCATTTTGTTTTCATAAAATATAGAAACATTAATGGAAAAGAGTGGATCTGTAAAAACGATTTAAAAACTTTTAATTCCCTAAATATAACCTACCCATCACATACCTATCGCCTTTTTAAATTTTTCTGACTAAACCAATAATTTGATTTAACTCAAGCCATTTATTACAATTGTGAGCAGAAAAAAAACTTTATACTTTGATCACATTAAAAATGCAAACAGTGTCTCAATGGAATACATACTACATGTTTAATAGTTTCTGGAACATATGTTCATGAAATATGTTAAACTTTGTAAATTTATTTATAAAAAAATATATAAAAAAGTTCTTTTATAATGGTAATAACTAAATGAAATTTTAAAACAACATCTTTTTAATGGAGTTTCACAGTGACAAAATACATCAAAAAAAAAAAAAATTCTTTAATTACAATGTAAATATAATGTGTAGAAAAAATATAATGCATAAAAGTTAAATTTTTAATCTTATTTCACGCACAATACAAATTATAAATGGCAACCATCGAGTAAGTATTGTTATGATTTTTTTAATTATCAGTTTAAGCCTTTTGGGAACCTTATGGAAAACCCATTAAATCTCCAGATTCTTCGGCCCTGATAAAAACCAGATAGCTGGGCTTAACCTCAAAATATTAGTAGCATAATTTATGCTCAAAAATGATTTAAACAACTATTATTAACTATTAGATTCACATACCTATGAAACACAAATAGTGAAGTGTCTTTGAAAAAGACTGCTTGTTCTTCAAAACCAACAAACTAAAGCTATCCTGTATTTCACGTGACATTATTGCATCAAGAGCAAGCCTAACTGCTGTTCTTGCGTCTTTTTCTCCAATATCTTTTATCTGGTTTTTCTAAAGAAATTAGTTATACAAAAACTAAATCAATATATTGAATCAAAAATTTAAAAACTTATTTCTCTTGTTTTCGAAGCTATTCGTGCATAATAAATTTATTTTTTGAAAATATTTCATTTAAGCTTAATACTTAAAATAATTTGTGAGTCTTAATATATTTATTTTAATCTTAAGCTATAATGAACTAACATAAAAATTTATAAATCTTCAAGTATTTGAAATAACTGTAACTGTATGTAAGTGTTTAAAATAATATTTTTTTGAAGATGTACATCGTTTTTGAGTTTACTCTCTTCTGCCTCAAATTTTTCAATGCTTCGAAGCACTTTTAAACTGCCTGAACTATTATTGGCCGCCATTTCGTTATCTTGAAGCAATTCAAGTGTTTCAA